TAAAGGGGTTCTCCCCCCCCTGCTCTGCCCTGCATACGCCCATGTGTGTAGCCTATATAAGAGATTACATAATTACATGATGTTCATTGTACTTTTATGATTGATTTTGATTGGGAAAATGTCAAGATTAGACAAGAAAAGGCTGATGAAATGCTTAATAAAAGACTGATTTCAGAAATGATCCATATAAAGTAACAGAAACAGAGTTTGAATTTACAGAATGATACGTATTCTTTAGACCCTATATATTCTTTAGACACTATATATGAATTTGTTTATGGAATTGTGGCGTTGTTTTCCCCCCCTTTGTTCTTATTTTTATTTTTATTTCAATAACTACATGATTTTATTATTTTAACTCTCATTTCATCTCTGACTGTCGACAGACCTTTATGTCAAGTCACGAGAAACGCTTACTATGTAAGTTAATAAAATTAAAATTCAGACAAATGATTTTAATAATTCTCTAATTTTTCGTTTTTCGTTTTTCGTTTTTCTTTTGAATGAACATAGCAAATCTGACAATCTGATGAGCGATGTGATTCTATTTATTGACGCAATGTATATGACTTCGATTTTACTTTATGTAAGTTTTTATATTATATTATTATTGTATAAATTAATATTTTTGATAATCATTTGGCTATTTATCATTACATAGCTAATTTGGATAAAGAAGAACGAGCTTGAACGAAATTGTCGGGAATCACCATCTTGGAATTTGCGTTACTTATGTAATTTTGATTTATATTTTATATTGATAAGGACCCGAATTGAAGGATCGAAATGTTTATTTTATTCGTTTTGTTACATTCACACGAAAATAAAGAGTTTTCTATGCATCCGAACAGCCGATATAGGCTCTGATGGGCTTTTTTATATTTTTCACTGATAGAGTCTTTCGTTCGATAGGGCTTCATTTTATATATTTGTTTATGAATAATTGAGAATGAATATTGATAATTAGCTGCATACTACTCTGTTCTTGCCATGATAACTCAAAAATGGTTGTAGATATCGACTTCAATTTTTTTTTAAATAAAAATAATAAATTTTTCCATAAACTTAAGCTACTTTTGCACAAAATTTATTTTTTAAATCCATTTTAACAAATAATTTTGATATTTCGACATTTTTTTATTTTGCACTGCCATTTTTGTAATCTTCATGTTCTTTTCATTTTAGGTTCAGATATATATATCTCTATAGATGAGAATCTCATCAATAAACTAGTACCAAGAAAATTAAAAAATTGTCACTCGTTTATACGAAATCATGGCAAAATCATGGCAAAAATACAGCAAAACACAAATCGTGCGATCGTCATTATCAATATTGTCCTTAATTATTCATATTTTGTGGATTTTTGTGGCCGATTTTATTTATTAAGAAGCATTAAAAACGTGCTAAAATAAAAATTCATGAATGTTTATTCAATTCTATTATTCAAGTCTACAAACGACATGAATTTGACACAATTTTCAACCGTTCGAACCTTTCACTTCTCTTATAGAGGGAATCTACTTTCAAAGATCGAAAAAAAGGTGATTTTTTTGACATTTTTTTTTTTTAAGAAGAATACTCATTGTTTAAACAATTTTTGCACGTTTTATTTCTATTAAGTAGCGTTCATTTCTTTATGCAAAAAAGAAATTGTTAATATTAATTTTTTTAACTTTTTAAATTCATCGAGAAGAGTTAGCTCTTATCTAAGTAACGAACTTTATGAAAAGTTAATCAAATAATTTTTTTAATCGTGTACATAAAAATTGAAGAAAATGCATAAAACAGATTTAAGAAAAAAATGCGTTTAAAATTTTCGTTAAAAAATGTAGTTCTTGAATATTTACAGTGCTCAGAGACTAATCTGCTATTCTAGACATACAGTAGCCCTTTATCTTCTTTATTAAATTCATTCCGAGCAATTTGGGCCAGTCTACGAGAGTCTCGGGCCTCTCTCGTGTTACTCAGTTATCTCAGCTCTTGCCTGGAGATTCGTTGTGTTATACATATTTGCATAGTGCGTGTATTTCGGTTCATAATATTAATTTCCAATCATGATTTCAAATTATAATTTTCATTCGTAATTTATAAAACAGCAAAAATCCCTTGAAAATTGCCATTCATAAACGCCAATTTTGAGTATTTTTACACTGTAATTGAGGTAATTTTGGCGCCAGTCTCGAGTTAAAACATTTGTTCGCATTCTAGGTATATTCACCTAGACATCGTGTTAACAAATCTTCGTTTGATATATAGGTGTAAATAAAAATTAAAGGCTTCTCGATACCTCTAATTTTTGTATCATGATTTTGAATATCATGATTCAATTAAAGGTATCAAGAAACATTATTTATTTTATATCAATTTATCAAACGAAGATAATTTGATGCAGGTGATTCGAAGCAATCGATCATGATCTGATAGTCACAATCGAGTTTGCTGACGTACTGTTAGCATTTTGCTATCTGGATGAATATGCAAATGTTTACTAAAAATAAAAGAAGAGGCCTTTTTACATCACTGATCTAAACTTTCAAGGTTTCAAGATAGTATAACCGTTGTTTGGGAAGATTATGATAAACATCAAAATTGTTTATTTTCTTCTAATAGAGCTCTAAGAATTTTTTCAGAATTTTTTGTCAACTTTTTAGTACTGCATTTTCTTATTGGCAATTATTTTTACCAACATAAGAAAATACTAAAAAATTCTGAAAAAATTCTCAGAATTTTATGAGAAGAAAATAAATAATTTTCTGTAAAGTTGATAGTAGGTAAAAAATTATTGAAAATGAATATTCGATGATTTTTAGTAATTAACATCTTGTTAATTGTTGCGAAAATTATAAAATGATAGAGAACTTTTCGACTCAGTTTAGTCCGTTCTATCCCTATGCGAGAGTTTTATCGTTACTTATTAAACACCCTGTATATTCACTAATGTGAAATTTTTAGAGACACCAAGGTTAGTTATTTAAGTGCATCAATTACAGCGCCGATTCCTAATTGCTCTTATTTACTCGGTTTTTTAATTAATTAATGTTGCAATCGTCATTGACGAATCCAAATGGGATAATAAATTATGAATACATGCATGCGGTTTCAATGTTTCTCTAATCGTTTAATTATACATTCAATATGCATATATGTCATAATCAAAGTATTAACTTTAATACATGTATACCCTTATTAGTAACAAAAATGTATACATTTACGTGTAGTAAATGTATATATTGACTACAGTAAATGTATACATTTACTGAGTTAACATTTTGACTGTAACATATACCATAAATTCGCAATACATTTAGTTTCTAGAACTTCAGAAAGCTTCACATTAGAAGAAACAGTAAGTGAACGAATATGTAAATATTTGATTGAGAGTAGTCTAAATTCTTTTAAATCTTTGTCACCCATAACACCGCATTTTTCTGATAAGATACTCAAAAATCCAGATTTTCCAGGGTTTCACTTATTCTACCTCCATAGTTACTCAAGATAAAATGAATAAACCTATCCGTGGTTGAAGGTCAAATATTTAAGGATGTCAGATATTTAAGGATGTTGAAAGATGATTGATGTCCAATGTCATGATTATGCATCAAGTGATAAGTCAAATCAAAAATAAAATTTAACTACTATTATGATTATTGGAGAGTACTTCGATAATAATAACTTTTAGTATATAATTTTGATTTTTCTGGAAAAAAATTATTTATTATATATAGAGGGTTGTAAGCGTGTAAAGCATTATCTTTTTAATGTGGTTCACAGAAAATCAGATTCATGATTTTTATGAATGTATCATCTTTTAATTTCTTATGATGCAACACAAATAAGAGTTTGATTTACAGAATTTGTTGACTTTTGTATCTCAAGATATTCGATTATAGATTCCATGTAACTATAATTAGCTTGAACTGGTAAAAGAACGCTTTTCTCACACTCATTGGATCTGGAAAATATCGAAGTTTTTAATGTATGAGTCAAACGCGGAACAGTCGAGTTAAATATTGCTTGCATGTATGATATTCCATGCAAATTGATCCTCTAGATTTTGTTAAATGTGTCATCGACTTTTATTTTCATTAAAATTAATTTAATATGATCTCTTTGTTTGACTTCTCGTCTATGCGTATACATGCGTATTATGATCCAATATCATTCATTTGAAGTATTAAGATAATTTTTAGTATTGATAAAGTAACATGTAATTGGAAGTATTACATTTTATTTGTTTTTTACTTGTTTGGTTCTTTTTGCTCCTTGTAATCGTTCTACATCGAAAGTAAGTAAGATGACTCTATTTCTTTCTAACTGTGCAGCCTACTTTACATGAGACAATGAAACAATGACAATAAAAAAATATTTATTCAGGGATTTCGACCTAGACGATGTAAATAATGAACTCGATCCGTGCGGTGGATATGGTAATAAGCAAATTACCAGTTATTCGCGACCAACTCTAGAAAGTCTGATTAAAGGAGGGTGAAAGTTTTATTCGAAAGAGATTTCTAAGATTTCTGTACGCACTCCCTTCACACACACACACACACACACACACACACACCCCCGCACGCATATTGGATACACATATTACGTTTTTACTCCTTTATTTAATTTATTTTAATAATTCAAGCCTAATGTACAATGTGCTCTTTGTTCCTGTTTCATGCCCTTTCTTCCGTGCCCTTGAACTTCTGAACTTGAAGAAACGAGAAGTACATGACAAGAAACACGATTGTCGATAAAACTGTGTGCGAAAAGGCAAAAAAGATAATAAACAAAAAAACAAGAACTGGAAGCAAAAAGCACATTATAATAGATTAGGCTTTAGTGATTGCAAGAAGAAAACAACATTCACCGTAATTCGGTTAATATTGAAAGAGACACTGACCTCGATGGAAATCGAGTCCTACTTATTATTAGACGAGATATGGACACCTGTTTCGGGTGGAACCGGTCGAGAGGCGTTAACTGTGGAACGCGCTTGCTTTCAGACGATGCGGTAGTGGATAACTTCGCAGTAGCGGACTCAAGGTTGAATTTGAAGAAGGAAGATATTTTTTGCGTGCAGCACAGAGGAAGAAGAGAATTCTAGATGCTAGGCCGGATCAAAACGAAATAGAAAAGAGAAGAAGCAAGAGAAAGAGAATTGAAGCTAGTAGAAAGAAGCGAGAACGAGATAGGGAAGGAAAGAGAGGCAGGGAGGGAGGAGGAGAGAAAGTAAGAGAGAGAGAGAGAGAGGGAGGGAGGGAGAGAGGGAGAGGGATGGGCGCTGGGATGGGTAGAAGCGGCACGAGCGGCGGTCTGCTCGAGGCACTTCCCACAGGAACTCCCCTGCACGTGGCGATGCTCGGTCTCGACAGCGCCGGGAAGACGACCGCCCTGTACAGACTGAAATTCGATCAGTATCTCAATACCGTACCGACTATTGGCTTTAACTGCGAGAGAATTCGCGGTGGCATCGGAAAAGCTAAAGGTACATCTCCCACAATTTTCCATCTTTGGTCTTTGACCATCTGTGTCTTTTTCTAATAAGCGTATTTCAAAACCACCAATTTTAAGGCCTGTTGAAGAGAAAAAGAGAATAGATGAACCGTGCAAGAACTTAAGCTAAAAAGAATAGATCTTCAGTCGTCGTTTTTGTGATAGTCTCGTTGGCTAAGAATCTAGAATTGATCTTCCTTTCAGCAAAACTGTTGATGTTTTTCAAGTTACAAGTGATCGAAGAGAAAGAGTTTTTCGCGAACGAATTTTCAAGAAGTTCAACGGTATTACTCGCTTTAATTAATACCAAATATTAAAATTTATATCAATAAAATTCAATACAAATCTCGTATATAAAGATATATAGGACGAAAGTACTGAGAAAGTTACAATAAACAATAATTTTTTTCGATATATTCAATAAGAAAAAAAAATCAAATTAACTAAAAAATAAAACATCCTTTTAACGACATTTTTTTTAGAATACTTTGTATTAGCAATAAATAAAAGGAGCATGTAGTCATATGCAAGATATTCGTAATAAAAATCAAGTATTTAAAATTCTTATGTTATAAAATAATCGTAGACGTTTTGACCCAGATTGGACCAATTAATTGTCAAATTTAATTGATTAACATTTATATTTATTTTGTATGTACAATATACTGAAGGTGACCAAATCTGGGCCGAAATGTCTATGATTATTTCATAACATTAATATAAGAATTTTAAATACATGACTTTCGCTATACGAACATCTTGCGTCTGCTTCTTTTATTTATTGTTTATATTTATTAAGCCATTATATAAGTATCTAATTTTGTATTAAGATTTGACATATACAGTTGAATCTTCATATTTTTTTTCACCTTTTCTTGCTTCCTTGTTTTTTACTAATTGAATCTCTGTAAATTATTTCTACTGTTACTGTCCTACTATATAATTTTTACTCAAACATATTTCTGATCTAAATCTAACATGTGTGTTACTGTTATAAGATTGAGAAAAGATTGGAAATTGATGAATGCTATCTAGATTAGAGAAATAGCTCGGTTTGCAATGACTAAACTAAGTATAAAGATTCGATTATAAATGCAACAAGTCACAGACAGCATTTTTGGATGCCCGTGTCACGTCGTTATGATTTTTTCCACCTTAAAACGCAGTATGTTTTTTGATCACAGGTGTTAATTTTCTTGTGTGGGACGTTGGCGGGCAAGAAAAGCTACGGCCGCTGTGGAAATCGTACACGAGATGCACTGATGGTATTATTTTTGTCGTTGACTCTTGCGATACTGAACGGCTTGAGGAGGCAAAAATGGAGCTTACCAGAACGGCGAGAAGTCCGGACAATGCGGGTGTGCCGATCCTAATCCTCGCCAACAAACAAGATTTGCCTGGTATAATTAATATTATAAAATTTATTTAAAATTTATAAATTATATTTCAAAGACATCTTTTTAATTGGAAAGTATCATTTTATTTTTGTTGCCTAATTATTTATTTCCATTTTTGTTGTCATATTTAGTTGACATGTTTTTTTTCTCAAACCTTTTTGCATAACATGACGCAGTAAACGTATTTCTTTTTGTATGCAAACTTGATTCGTAGCAGTTGGTATAAATGACCGTAGCGCGCACGATGCGTTTGTCATTTCCGCGTCATGTGAAAATACATCGTATTTTTCTGAAATTATATTATACACTACAAGTAGTTATATAAAAGTATGAACAAGCGCATTTTTATTAAATATTGAATTTCCATTGATGGAAAAATTAATTTATAATTCAAAAAATATAAGATATTACAAACTAATAATAATAAAAAATCTGTCATAAAATAGACATATCTCGCATGATTTTGAGGTATCTTACATACACATGAAGCTATAAAAAAATAGAAGAAATTTTTTTTAATATAAATAAATACAGAGTAAACATTATTTAATTATTCATTTTTTTAATAATTATCAATTGAATGTGCGAATTTCGTAATTTTGGGTCTCGTTCTATTTATACAACTTTTGAATACGGGCCTGCTCATAATAGAACAAATATTAGGAACAGGAATAAATATTATGATTTCAACCTATGAATTCAGATACCATTTATATCGGTTTCTGGTAGATTGAAATCTTAATATTTATTCCTATTCGATATTCCTAATATTTCCTCCATTGTGGGCCATTAGTCTTTCTGATATGTATATTATGGTGGAAAATGATATACGAATAAACTTTATGCAAATACTTAATATAAAAATTTTTCGCGAATTTTTATTGAGCAAAGCATTGCAACTTACTTGTGGCCTTATTTAGAAACGTAGTTTGTTGAATTATGGAATAGTTAAGAATAATATAAACATTTTGCTTTATTTTGTTAACTTTCTATTATATAGGTGCGAAAGAAGTTAGTGAACTAGAGAAGCATCTGGGAGTGTTAGAATTAACCGGAATGCCAGGCAGCGCTTGTATTCGTGTACAACCAGCGTGCGCTATTACAGGCGAAGGACTTCACGAAGGCTTGGACACACTGTACCAGCTGATATTGAAACGACGCAAATTGGCCAAACTGAATCGGAAACGGGCCAGGTAGGCCAGGGCTTCGGAAGACTGCACATGCGTCTTCTGATATTGTCGATTGCGGACAGCCTCTCCTTTGGCGACGCTTTCCACAACTTCCATCTCGTTCTCTCTTTCCAATTGCGATGAGGACATAGCACATTAACTCGAAAGAAGTGAACGGTGATCACAAAGGGTGCGATCACTTCCCTCTGACTTTCACTCTCAGCGAGATGCTGTTGGAATTACTAGCATCGATTTTTAGATTTTGTGTGTGTGTGTGTGTGTGTGTGTGTGTGTATCTGTGTGTGTGTATCTGTGTGTGTGTTTGTATGCTTGCGTGTACATATAAGTATATATCAGTGTAGAGCTGCATGTGAATATGAGAAAAAATAGAAATGGGGGATTTTAATAATTACTGTTCCTATTAGGTTGTTGCATATAACATTTTTTAATTAAAAATTGAGATTATTGATGTTCAAGTTTATGCAATTTTCGAAATCGATATATTATCTATTAGTAATCTTTTTATTTATTGCTTAAATGTAAGATGAAATGCTTTTACGACGCCAAAACTAAAAAAATATATACTTGAATAGTGTAACTTTCAAACATTTACAAATTCTTTTATCAATTCAGGGACTCGAATCGGACCGAAACCAAAATCGATAACTGGACCGTAATCGCTATTTTTGTCAGACCGAAATCGATAACCAAATCGAAATATTGTGCAGGCTAATGGACCGAAATGATAACTGGACCAAAAATGTTTTCCGGTCCGATTTGATTCGGTTTTCGGTTCAGATTTTTTAACTTCATCGGTACGATTGTCGATTACAGTCGACAGCCACCAAACATACGTATTCTTAGCCGAGCGTCAGCTATAGTCAATAGCCACCCAGTGATAGGAAATCGGGAACAGGCATCACAGTGTTTTTCTCCATCCACTCGCTCTCTCCTCACTTTCGGTAAAGGCGAGAAGGATAGAGCGATGAAGGAAAGAAGAACAGTGAGTGGAGTATGTTTGTAATCTTACCCATACAGCACAGAAAGATTGTAAAATGATTGCAGATATATCTCATGCAATGTTATAATATTGCAAATAGATTGCGCACTATTATTAAAAATAATTCTTTTATAATTACTGAATATAATTTGAAATATAATTTGTAATATAAATTTTAAAAAATGCAAAAAAAGAACTAATCAATATATATTTTATATTATAATTATTATCTTTTGTATTTAATTGCAAATTTTATGTGCAGGTATATATGTTTTTTAAATTTTACATATGTAGATATATATTTTACACTTTATGCAGGTATGCCTATTTTGTACATATTCTTAATTAGTGAAATGGAAATATTAAGAAACTCCACGCTTCTATTTCATTTTCTTTATAATATTTAAAAAATTTTTTAATCCAAATATTTCAAAAAATTATGAGAGTTGATTATAAAGTTTGAAAAATCTTGTCGCGTGACGGTGACAACAAATGTTTCAACGAACACTATAATTCCTAATGGCTCTCACACTGGACGTGGAAATACTTGTCGCGCGACAAAATGCGATACCGGTAACCAATAAGCTTACAACTCCTAACATTTTCATTGATTACCATATTGCATTTTGCGCGGCAAGTGTTTTCACATCCAGCGTACAGAAGTCATAAATGAATGGAAATAATTATCATATAACGTGTAATTGACGTATGTTTCTACATGTGATAGCAGTTCATTACTCAAAAGCTAAAATGTTTTTTAATGTTTCTGTAACAATGTTGCAAGATTTGTAAACCGTAATATAAATTATAAAATATTGAAATTCCTAATACCTACAGTGTTGCAGCGATATTACAGCGCAATGTGTAATATTACAACATTTCTACAATGTTACTGCAAGTTTGTATGCTGTATGGGTACATTCATATTTTTAACGCTTCTTAGACATGCAGTTGATTTTAAGACTCCTGACTAGTCGCTGTAGCAATTGAAAAAATGATCTATTTACAATGATCTATTTACATAATCTTTCATTCTATATTTAAAAAAATTTTTTTCAATAAACATTTTATTTAATAAATATGAATTTTTTAAATATGCAATTTATGCTTATCATATTATCTTTTTAGCAGGTAAACATACACTCGTAACCGTAACCGAAAAAAAATTGAAGTCCAAATTATGGTCACCATTATCGGTGAAAGAATTGAAATCACTTGGATTTCGGACTTTTTCAGTAACTGAAAAAGTCCGAAATTATCGATAAAAGAACCGGAATTGAAAATTGAGTACAGCCTCTGATAACCAGATCGATTCGATCCGAGTCCTAGATTATAAGAATATTAATTTGTCATCTGCAATGTGATTCAGCACAAATTTACAAATAAATTTACAAATTTGAAATGATATAGACATTGTGCTATTATATTGTAAGTATTTCTTCTCTTTATATAATTGAATTAAATTTTATATTGAATTAGATTTATTTTGTATGCAACAATGTAATGATTAAAATGATCGTAAATATAAATGTGTGACGATGCTAGTCGACTGAGGAAAATCTATTGTTGCGACAAAGAAAAAAGAGTCGATGCGAAAGTGGTATAAATGTAAGTAAATAATTGTAAATAAATCGGAAAAGTTGTAATTTCATGCTGACATAAATTTCAAATGCAAAGATGCATTAACACGAGCAACGAAGTTAATTAATGTCAAAAAATCTGTGACAATATAAGTCGTCATAAATTACTTTGCAAAATTGGATATTTTGTTGCAAAGATTAATTATTGCCATATTTTTAAATATAAAACAACACAGCAATATATTCTTTTTAAAATTACATGCGAGTAATTTGATGTTACTTATTTCATAAACTTTTTTTATAAAACCTTTGTCATTAAACATATTGAAAATATATTGGAATTTTAAAGAAGCACTTTTATATGTTATAGCTATTATAAATTCTTTGATATAGTGCAGAAAAAATTTTTTGATATTGATTTAATTTTATTCTTTTAATTCACAGAATCAATCGAATCATTAATGATCATTAATAAATCATTAATTGAATCATTAATGAATGAATATGTTTGCGATTTTAATGAGATTATATTGCTCATCGAAATGTCGCTATATGTTTCTATGGAAAACTTTCGAGTTCCTTTCGCCCTGCTATTTATTGATGATTATTAATGTCAATAAATTGTGCCGCTTAGAGCTGTTCTTCGGATAAATTATGTAGTAATTTACGTATTGGATAAACAAAAAAATAAAAGAATAAGAACAAAAGAGAGTAAGACAATGAACTGAAGTTTTCCGAAAGATGGAATAACTCAGGCCGTATTCCAATATGCACTGCCAGTATTGAAAATCTATAGTTTACGTTACGTATACTGTAGATTTTCAGTACTGTATATCGGAACACGCCTTCAGCCACAACGTTATTAATGCCTAATATGTTACCTATACATATACTTTTTAAAACTAAAAAATTCTCAAAAATCATTAATAATGGCACTAAAACACAATATTTTTTTTATATTTAATATCCAAGTACAAAAAAATTTAGAAAGAACCAAGAACTCACTTATTTGTCATTTGTATATGTCGCGGAATTACTATTGTCTCTAGAAAATATACATGTATGCATACGTATATTAAGGTAGAGATATCAATATATATATATATATAGTTCACGAGATATTTTATACTTTATTTTGGCATATAATTGATATGAAATATTAAAGATCTTGTAAACTATTAATTTTTTTATAATCGTACCTTAATATTTTTATGAACATAATAATGACATGAATCAATTGGTGTAATGAAAACACAGTTGCTTATTTAAAAAATTATCAATTTTACCTATATATACACACACACACACACACGCGCGCGCGCGCGCGTGTGTTAGCAACTGTGTATTTTCTTTATACCAATTGATTTATTTTATTAACGCATACAAAAATTAATAGTTTACGAGATGTTTAATATTCATGTCAATATGTGCCAAAATAAAGTATAAAATGTGTCATAAACTGTTAGTTTTTTGATATCTGTACCATAATATTTTTATATGCAGAATAATTAATGGAATATCATATTACATTTAAAAAATCATATAATTCCATTTAAATAAACGAAGTTGATCTTAAAATCTCCGAAGCGCCTCTACCCGGATAAAAATGATTATCGCTATACGATAGCTACCTTTGTACCATGCAATTTTGGTAACATAAGTTTCCCTTTGAACTTTATATTGTAGATTCAAATATATCTAAGGTGATAATAGTTATTGAGACACCCTGTATATATGTATATGTATATACAAGGTGTTCAGAAATTCAACCGACCACATTTTTAGGCAGATAGAGCGGACTAAACTGAGTCGAAAAGTCCTCTACCAGGAAATTTTCGCAATAGTTAACAAGATATTGATTACTAAAAATGCCGAATATTGGTCTTCTAAAATAATTTTTTCTCAAATACTATTAACTTTACAGAAAAATTGCAAGAGATAAAAATTGTTTATCTTCTTCCTACAAAGTTCTGAGAATTTTTTGTTCAGAATTTTTTCAAAATTTCTTAATATCGTATTTTCTCATGTTGATAAAAATAATTGCCACTATATGTATATATAAGAGAATGCAATACTAAAAAGTTAATAAAAAATAAGAGTTCTATGAGAAGAAAATAAATAATTTTTGTCTCGCAGTTTTTTTGTAAAGTTGATAGTATTTGAGAAAAAAATTATTGAATATTTGATGAATATTTGGTCATTTTTAGTAATTAATATCTTGTTAACTTATTACGAAAATTGCAAAATGATAGAAGACTTACGACTCAGTTTAGTTCGCTCTACCTGCCCACGAATGTGATCGATTGAATTTTCAAACATCCTATATATACTCGTATGTACATATATGTATGTATATGTACGTGTGTGCGTGCATGCGTGTATACAGAGTGTCTCTAAATTCTCGCATACGGAGTACAAAACGTAATACTTTATGCTAAAACAAACAACTTTTTCCTTTAGCAAAATTCCGTTCAATAAATAATTTTTGCTCTTATTTGTTAACTTCAACCTGCTCTTCTGCAAAAATTACTTGTCGGATGCAATTTTGTTAACGAATAAAGTTATTTGTTTTAACATAAAATATCATGTTTTGTACTCCATATGCGGAAATTTAGAGACACCCTGTATATACGTACATCTGTAGGATGACTATTAAGATTGTGTCTGAACGATTACTTCGCAACAAGTAAGAAACAAATGAAACGCTATTTTGTAGGGTAAACTTATCATTTTCATTTGTTATTGTACAAGTCAGTTTATACATATATGAATGTCAGTATGAATGTATTATCCATTAAAGAAAAGTTGCTTTTCATTTCTTTCTACAGAGCAAGAACTGTACAAAATTATATAGATTTTGTAAAATTTTATCAGGCCCTTCCTTATGTGATGGGATTGGCTTGTGTGCAAATAATTAGGCGAGATATTCAGTACTACTCGATCAAGACAGTTGCGTGAACGGACAGTCATATTATCTTTAACTCTCTGGCACCCTGCATGAACATCATGTGATCCCCCTTTTCTATGCATATTAACCCTTGAGCACGTTCATGCTATAAAGGTTTACACAACAAATGTGGATTTAAAAAAAGCTTCAAGTGAAAGTACGCTTATAAGGGAAATCTCGCGAAGTAAGGGAAATCTCAAATTCATGAATCTTTATACGAAACTTTTTAATGAAACTTCATATATATGTTCATATATATGTGGATTATGTAAATATGAATTTAGAAAATATTAAATGATGCGAAAAAATAGTTTTAAATAATCACTTTTTGCAGGTAACGTAGTTTTTAGCATTTTTATATTTATACCTCAAAAACTATTCAAGATATAAAAAAGATATTATACATAAGTTTTATGATAAAATTATTTCTATTCACAGTATTTTTTAACAATAATTTAAAAACAATTTTTTTTTATTTTTGAACCTTTTTTCTTCGATTAATGCAGTCATGTTGACGCTCTGACTGATATACAACAACTCAAATGAATTTTTGAACCTTTTTTCTTCGCCTTCGAATTTTTGAACCTTTTTATGCATTCATGTTGATGATCTGACTGATTTATACAACAATTCAAATGAATTTTCTCTCACAAAATGACGTTTCATTTGTTTTGTTCGGCCTATATATTGTGAAGTAATAACTGTTTAGTTTAGACACAATTTTAGTCATCCTATATATATATATATATA